CCGGCGCTTTCTCATGTAACGGCTGCAGCCGCTCCACACACACACATATATATAAATCATTGCTTTTTTATAAGGGATAATCGCATTTTAATATCTAAACTTTTACAAAATTCCCAGATAAATATCTAAACTATAAAATTCCCAAATAAATACCTGAACTTTTCAAAAATCTTATATAAATACCTGAACTTTTGATTTTTTTTCCAAATAAACCATTTTCCGTTGACGGCGTCTAACGTATAAAAAATTCCGGAAAAACAATGATGATTCAGCGTTAAAAAATCCTAATAAGCATCCACGTCATACGACACGTTTCACAAACCAGTTTAAGTGAATAATAATTTAATAATCAAACCTGTTTGATAAAAAATGAACCTAAAATCTCCGTTACTCTTCTTCTTCGTGTGCTTCTCTTTCGATGGGGGATTTTGATGAGGAATTTGTGGGTGGGGATTGGGGGAGAGGCGAAGCTCCCGTAAAAATCTCAGCCGTCGTCCGTTCAATTTCCGTCGCAGGAATCCGACTCTCCTATTGAAAACTGAAGCCCAACCGATGGAGACTGAAGCTTCAGTTTCCGGCGTGAAGGCGATTGAGTCATCTTTGGAGACGATGCGTCTCGTCCAAGGACTCAGAGAGAGGAGGCAGAGCAACCGCCTCCGCAGGTGACGGTCGTGACGAAGAATATTTCGTTCGGGACGATGTCGGAGAAAGAAAAGTACGACTGAGAGACAACGGAGAAGGAAACTCCGACATGCCTCGATGAAGAGAAGCACATGATTTCTCAGAATCTGGGCTCGTTCAAGGAAGAAAACAAACAACTTTCGGATCTGTTTGATTCTGAGAGCAATCCTCTGGTCAAACTGAAACAATTTGTATAAAACTAAAGCAAAAACAAATTTGTATAAAAAAGAAAATTATATGCGTGTAGAATTGAAATTTTTATAAAAAATCTCTCATGAGGAGAATTAGAAATTTAGAAGGACAAGGAAAAGCCCAGGAGACAAACAAACGACGAACAAGATAAATATTTTATTGGCTGTTTATTTTATTATCACACCGGTTTGAGTCAATTATTATTTGGTTATTCAATTAAACCGGTTCATTTATCTTAGCTCATGACGTGGATGCTTATTAGGATTTTTTAACGCTGAATCATCATTGTTTTTCCGCAGTTTTTTATGCGTTAAACGGCGTCAACGGAAAATGGTTTATTTGAAAAAAAATCAAAAGTTTAGGTATTTATATAAGATTTTTGAAAAATTCAGGTATTTATTTGGGAATTTTATAGTTCAGGTATTTATCTGGGAGTTTTGTAAAAGTTCAGGTATTAAAATGCGATTATCCCTATTTCTTTTTTTCACTTTTATTCTTTTTTACCTAATATTGATTTTTTAAAATGTGAAGCTCAGAAAACGTCCGAATTTGCAAGTTCAATAAATTTCACTCCACAAGCCCAAAACATGCATTCTCTACATCATTGGACACTCTTCTCAATATCTACGCATAGACACCAAGATCACCCAAATCTGATATCGGAGGAGGAAGTTATGAGCGAATTCGTGAAGCCCGTGAAACTGCTCAGAGACACGAAACGATCGTTTCGGGATGGACGAAACGATCGGTTTGGTATCGCAGAAATTTGAAAATTGCTCAGAAAGTGCAACCGATCGGTTTGACTTTGCCGAAACGATCGGTTCGATCCCCAGATTCGGGAAAACTTCCAATTTTGCCCAAACCGAAGGGAAATAAGAGGGGAAAGCCTCTAGGTCGAAATTCATTCAAGCTTTACATAAAGAAGACACCAAGAGCACAAGAAAAGGTGACGATTATCAGGAAGCAAGAGATCGGAGTAGAAGACGGAAATCACGAAGCCGAGAAATCGACTAAGCGTTCCTCTTTCCTTCTATTTTACGATGTTTTTTTGTATTAATATGAACCCTGAGGTCTCGATGTTTAGCGAGTAGTTCTTTTGCTGTAGATTAGGGATTTGCTATGTAGGAATCTGTTGTTTTTAATTCCAGACTCTGTGGATTTATTTATTCTATTCGGTTTATTGGGTCGAGATTAATGTTTTTGGTCTTGTTGGGTACTTGATTGAATGAACTTAAGATTTTAATTCTCATAGACATATGGGTTTCGAACCTGGAAATAACTCAATAAATAGAACAGGTATTGCATTGAGAGATGAATATTTGCCTAGGGATTATGATAACGTTCGTTCATGCATCCAGGGTTTTAGACTATTGAATCGAGAGATTAGTAGGATAAAGCCTGGATAGTGAGGTTAGACTCGAGAGGGTTAATCTATACTTTAAAGCTTGAATTCCCTGAATTGGATAGAAAAACTACTGAGTTTGCATCTTTTGAAAGACTCTTGCATGTAAAGCAATCCCGAAGCCTGCAGTGTTTTGTCATTGATAGTTTATCGTTTGTTTTTATTATTTGCTTTTGATACATTCTCATCATTCTCATATTTTCTCTAGATCTAGATTTGGATTGGAATCTGATTCAGTTGTTTACTTGTCCCTGTGTTCGACCCTAGTTGCTACATACGATCCGTACACTTGCGGTTAATTGTTGAGTCTAAGATATTATTACTTGATAGATTTCTACACCTAGATTGACGACATCAAGTTTTTGGCGACGTTGCCGGGGACCATTTAGGCAATAGGATTAGATTCTATCTAGTCTGGATCTTTTTTCTTTTTCTTGAGTATTTCTCACATTTTCTTCGTTTGTTTGTTGTCTTTCATTTGTGCGCAGGTTTCCTAGTGCATGACCAGAAGTTCCGGGACATCATCTAGTACCTCTTGATCCTGAGCTTGAAAGGACCATCACACGCCTCCGACGACAGCAAAGATAGATGGAGAACAACCGAGATTTTGCTCTTCTTGATGGTGTCGAGGGCAATGCTGACTCAACCTTTGTCCAGTACAACACGCCTAAGCACACTGAGCTTTTGGCTGGTATTCGATTACCGGCCATCGACATGTCTAGTTTCGAGATGAACCCGTCTACTATTCAGATGTTGGGCAACAATGCTTTCCGGGGTAGGCCGAACGAAGACCCGAACGCACATTTAACTCGTTTTAAGATGATGTGTCGTTCTATCAAGAGAGACAACAGGGTGACAGAGGATATACACTTTGCTTAATTGCTTTCCCCTGGACTATCTTGGATGCTTCTTTGGAATGGTGTTATGATTTGATACCTGATTCCATCCACACCTAGAAACAGTTGGAAGTGCAGTTTATGTCAAAAAAATTTCCAGCTCACCGCACTCAAGCCGCTCTTTCTGACATTCATTCATTCAAGCAGGATCATGGGGAAAGTCTTTATTACGCCTGGAAGAGGTACAAGGGATATCAGAAGTCGTGTCCTCACCATGGACTCAACAAGAACTACCTGGTCAATACCTTCTTTCGAGGACTATGAAATCATACTAAGACTCTGATTCGAGCTTCTTGCGGTGGAAGCATCCAGAACAAGTCATTTGTGGAGGTTGAACAACACATTGAAATGATGGCTCAAGAAGAGGATGCTCCAAATGAATATTCTCGAGATCTACCAAGGAAAGACGACGATTATAGCCTTCAGTTTGTTCTTGATCAGTTGGCAGCACTGAATGCTAAGTTTGCAAGCGCCAATTTGATTTCTACTACGGATGCTCCGACACTTTCACAAGAGGATCTTGGCATGTATGCAGTCGAAGAGCGAACCGAGGATCTAAACTACATGGCCAACAACAACTACACGAACTCATACAATCCCAGTTGGAAGAATCATCTCAATCTCTCCTACAAGTTGAACAATGTTGAGAACCCCGTGCCGAACAACTTCAGAGCATCGAACAATCCAAATCAGAGGATTCCTCCCGGCTATGCCTTTCAATCCAAGGGTCTTAATCAGAACTCCAACTATAAAGGTCTCGGACAATCCTACAACAACCCTGCACCTCCAGATAACCGTGATCTCGCTCAAGATACACATGCTCTTCTTCAATAGTTTGTCCAGACGCAGGAGAAGACAACTCAGGAGTTTCGCGTGCAGTTCACGAATATTGATGCTCATTTTAAGCTCGTGGATAATTAGATTGCTCAGTTAGCATCAGCCATTCAAAGACCATTTGGGTCTCTTCCAGGTAACTCTGAGACCCTCGTGAACATGTCAATGCTATTACCTTGAGAAGTGGTAAGCAGGTAGATTCTGGAGACCCACCGATGGTTGAGCAAGGCGATAGCTTGAGAACCACAGTTTTAGACACTCCTGATGATACACCTGAGTCGGCTTACATGCCTCCTCCTCCTAGGCCACCACTAGTACCGTTTCCATCTCGCCTGAGGAAGCACAACGAAGACAGCCAATTCGCGAAGTTCGTCGAGATGCTGAAGAAACTCGAGGTAACCATGTCATTCACTGACGCTATTTTGCAGATTCCCTCGTCACGAAGTATCTCAAGGATATCCTGACCAAGAAGAGGGTCGCTGAGAAAGAAACTGTGGCGTTTACTGCCGAATGCAGCGCTTTGATCCAACACGAGCTCCTGCTTAAGCGGTCCAATCCAGGTAGTTTCTCAATCCCTTGTAAATTGGGTAATATTTCCATCGATCGTGCACTTTGTGATCTAGGAGCCGGCGTCAGTCTTATTCCATTATCGATATTCAAGAAGCTGAATGTGGGTGAGCTAAAACCCACTAGAATGACTCTTCAACTTGCCGATCGTTCTGTTAAATACCCTGTTGGGATACTTGAGGATGTGCCATTGAAAGTCGAGAACTTCTATATCCCGGTTGACTTTGTGGTTCTCGACATGGACGAAGATTCTAAGGTACCTATCATCCTTGGTCGTCCATTCCTTAATACTGCAGATGCTGTTATCCATGTTAGAGCAGGTAGACTGACCATGAAGATTGGAGATGAGACGGTGGAGTCACTTTGGACAAAAATCTCAAACAACCGTCATCAACAGAATCTGCTTGCTTCATAAACACACTCGACGATTCAGCTCAGAAGTATGAACCGATCCTTTCGGTCCAGGAAACCGATCGGGTTGAGCATGATCTCAATGCCGGAATTCTACTGATAGTCGAACCGATCAGTTCTCGACTTTCAACCGATTGTTTCGAAAACAGAGTTCGAAGCAAAAAGTTACAGAAACCGTGTCGCATTGTGAAACCGATCGGTTTGAGAACCCCTTTCGAGCTTCGGAGTTACAGAACTTGGAACCGATCGGTTCAACATTCTCTAACTGATCGGTTCAGACCCCAGCACGATACAACGCCTCATTTTCATCTCACATGGGCGCTCATGACCTGTCTCACTCTGTTAAAGAGGTCATTAGTCTATCAGACCACCATTCTCATACACTTCATGATCCAGCTTGGCGAAAACAGTTGGTTGGTCCGGGGCTAACCACTAAGAAAAATAACCCTCTACTAATTTTCTTAGCAGGCTAAGATCCATATTTTACATAGACTTGAGTCAGCTTTGCCATGATGCTCTAGCCTATGCTATTTAGTAGGGGTGTCAAAATGGTCGGGCCGGGCCGGCCCGAGCCCGACAAAAACCCGAAGAATTACGGGCCGGCCCGGCCTGGCCCGAAACACACGCGAGCTTAAAATCTTGGGCCCGAGGCCTGGCCCAATGGGCTTTTTTCGGGTTCGGGCCGGGCTTCGGGCTTTTTCAAAAAATAATAATAACAAAATAAAAATAAAAATTATTAATAAAAATTTATCAAAATAGAAAAAAAAATAATATATACTAAAGATAATAAAAAATAAAGTTTTGATAAAAACATTTATTAATATATACGTGGATTTAAGAGAAATTAAAACTCAGATTTGTTTAATTTTTATATAATAATAAAATTTATTTAAATATTAGTGAATTAATATATATATATATTTATGCATGTATGTATATATATTTATCTATATCTATATATATTTATATTATATAATATACAATATATTTATTTTTTCGGGCCGACAGACCGGGTCGAGCTAGCCCGGCCCGGCCTGATGGACAATCGGGCTTCAATTTCTTAAGTAGGCCCAAGCCCGTAAATTTTACGGACGGGTTCGGGCCGGGGAACCGGCCTCGGGCTTTTTTGTCACCCCTAAGCCTACGTCGTATTCAGAGGCTTTTGGCTCAAGAGTGTAGAGCCAATCTCTTGTATTAGTGAATTAATATGTATATATTTATGCATGTATGTATATATATTTATCTATATCTATATATATTTATATTATATAATATATAATATATTTATTTTTTCGGGCCGACTCCCGGCCCGAGCCCGCATTTTGGCCCGCATTTTTCGGGTCAGGCCGGCCCGGCCCGATAGACGACCGGGCTTCAATTTCTTAGGCCCAAGCCCGTAAATTTTACGGGCAGGCTCGGGCCGGGTAACGGGCCTCGGGCTTTTTTGACACCCCTACTATTTAGGTAGACATCCAATGTCAATCACATCAAATGTGACTCTTAGATCGTTTATGGGAAAATAGTATCATTATACTATCGCATATTTCTAGTTCCATCTATACCGTTAGGTTCAAGTCCAACTTGATAACCCAACTCAAGCCAAACCATTTTCAAACATATGAGAATCACCATTTCTCCATCTTGTCTCACAAAGATTGTCTGGTATGCTCAGCTTTGGCATGACCCATACACAGACGATCGAAGCCTTGACAAGTGCTCGAAACATGGGCGGTATAAGCTTGAAATTATAACGAGGGATTTTATCGGTATCAAGAAGCAGCTTATTACTTTCGAGATATGAGAAGCACAATTTCTCAATTCTTGTCTCACTTAAACAATCTGGTATGCACAACTTTGGCATGTCCCATACACGAATTACCAAGGTCTTGGCAAGAACTCTACTTGTAATAGCTCTATTCTCGATTGATAAAAAATATAACAATTATACTTTTGATCCGACTCTGTTACTTAGCTCGAATAGACCATCTATTCAGCTTAGTAAACTAAGTCTCGAAACTCCTACTCAATCAAGTTACTCTTATACTTTGATTAAGTTCTATGCACTTAATTCATATAGACCATCTAAATAATTAAGTCATAAACTAAAAACAATCATGATTAACTCCGTCAAGTAACCATTACTTAACTGAATCGAATTAAGAAAACGCGAAAATCCGAAAACAGTTGGTTGGTCCGGGGCTGACCAAAACTTGGTCCGCCGGACAAAACCACAACTCAGTTCTCAGAGTCAGCTCGGACTGGAGAAAGAAAAAAGCGGAGTCAGTTGAGTTGGTCCGGGGCTGACCAACTTTTGGTCAGCTCCGGACCAAGACCACTCCTGCTCTCTCTCAGTCGGACCAGAACTCAGTGGGCTCAGACTGAAGTGTTGGTCCGGGGCTGACCAACTTTTGGTCCGCTGGACCAAACATACAGTCCGTAACTCACTCTCTCGGACCAACTCTTGGTCCGTCTGATCCGAAAACGTCTGATCCAGGGCTGACCAAAACTTGGACCGCCGGACCAGACGTATCAGAATGCTCTCGGACCAAGACAGTTTGGTTCGAAACTTCTCCTTCTTGGTCCGCCGATTTGTCCTGTCTTAGTCCGAACCTATGGTCCGGAGTTGACCAACCTTTGGTCCGTCAGACCATGAGATTCTGGGCAGAAAAATCAGACGAAAATTTTCATCTTGATATGATTTTTCGCTCCATTCGAATCTGTTTTTCGTTCCGTTTTCTCAAGTTAATTCATGATTCAAGCCTCTATATATCTAAGTCTTGTTACATAACATAATCTACCATAGATTTATTTATATAACAGATTTAAACTTAGATCAAAACCAAGGAAAAACCAAGTTTGAACAATTTTCAAACTTGCTCAAGAGTGATCGTTCTTCATCGTAACGAAGAATCGAGCTCTGATACTACTGCTGGGTCACACGGGATCCTCGGCCACCGGTTCAAAACCATGCTAAGATCTGGTCCACGGGCTTGCGCAGCGGAATTAGCATTCAAAACGATTTTGAATGCCCACGGACCAATCTTTTCAATGAAGAACTTCTTGGAGAGAAAACTAACCTTTGAATCCTTGGATTCACAATTCGATTGCGGTTAGAAGATCAGAACCAAGGTGTTGAAAAAGCCAACACCCTCTTGAGCAGTCCACACCTTTGGGATGGATTCCAACTCTTGGAATCTTGCTTGCTAGAGCTTGAAGAGATCAAATCTCTTGTGTATGGATCAAGAACACTCTCTTGAGTTTGAGAGAGTTTTCTCCCGAGTTCCCTAGCACCTCTGATGGCTTAGGGACGAGATATGACTAAGAGACAAGTTCCTCACCTGCTTCCCACCAAGAAAAAAGGCGAGAAAATGCGAAGTTCGTTTTTTTCAGTGTCTCGGTCTGGAGATGACCAACTCTTGGTCAGTCAGACCAGCATGCGCAGTCGACAGTTGCCGACAGTCCGAAAATTCGAGATCCGACGGACCAGAATCTTGGTCCGCCGGACCAGCCGCGCTTCGGACCATGCGCATAGTCAGTCTAACCTGTCTGGTCCGCCGGACCAACTTTTGGTTCGCTGGACCAGGCAATCAATTTACCCATCTCCCAATGATCTAAATGATCTCTAGATGCATTAATGTACCCTATCATGAACCCTAAGCAAGCTAAGCCATCTCTCAATGTGAATAACTCACTCATTTGACATTTGGTTCCAAACATCATCCCCATATCCCTATGATCAATGTGTTCTATGGTCATATCAATTAGGGTTTCGCCCAAATCAATAGCATTAAGCACAAAACATCAAACCAATGGAAGAAAACTCAAAGACATCATAGATTAAGCTTAGGTGTCCATACAAAAGTGGGGATCCTTCACCCACAACAAGGTCACTACTCCATAACTAGGGTTTCAAAACATAAAGCAAAATGAAGAAACATGGAAAATGAGAAAAAAATGCTCAAGATGGTCTTCAATGGTGGTCTTCTTCTCCTCCTAGCCTCCTTGATCTTCAAAATCCCTCTTTCTCCTCTTCCAAGTCAAGTTTCTCTCCAAAGTGTGTAGCCCCCTTTCTCTCTCCTCAAACTCCCCTTTTTATGAAAGTCCAGAATTAGGTTTTCTCCTCAAAACACGGGCTTTTCCTTTTTGGACCGATTTTGATTTCAGGCGGTCGCTCATTTTTCTTCAGGGTCGCTCATTTTTCGGGCTGATCGCTCATTTTCCTCTGCACACGCGAAAAAGCAAGCAACCGCTCACAAAACGAGCGACCGCCCATAAAATGGGCGGGTCGCTCATTTTGTCTGAGTTTCCCGAGCCTTCTCGAATTCTTGTTCTTCCATGCCCGCTTCGTGAGGATTCATCGTGGAGTCTTTCTGCAAGGAAAAACAAGCAAAGCAACCTACCCATGGCCATCTAACATCCTACAATGCCTAGAATGAGAGAAGAATTGTGATGCATGACGTTATAAAACCGGTGAAAACCCGTATGATCAAATCCCCCCAGACTTGAGGTTTGCTCGTCCTCGAGTAAATGTGTAGTTATAAAACTATCCAAGGGGCGATAAGATACAGTCGGAGAACAAATGGGGGTTTTGAGTGGATTGGTTGTACGGGTTAAAGTTGCTGCGAATGAAATCGGGTTCGGTATACTCTATCCTCTCCAACATTCAAGCGAAAGGCTACCAATGGGATTTTCATTGCTTCCTGCGGTCTAGAAGTGGAGTAAATCCTACTTGCCGAACATGTCTCCTAAACACATCCCAAATGAGAACCCCAAAAGTCACTTAGCTCAAAAGTCACTGTTTTCTCTTGCCCCATATCTTTTCTTTTTATTCGTGTTTTTGTGTTCTTTTTCTTTTTCTTTCTTTCCCCCTTTTTTTTGGGCAAACTTCAAGAATACCCCTCGCGCGTCGTAGGGCTATCATTGATACACCCCTGAAATTGTAAAAAAAATTTCTATCAGATTTTACACTCCAATGGTGGTAAAATGACCTATTTAACCCTGTAT